TTACTAAAATAGTACAGCCCTTCAGTAATAGTCACAACTAAGATGGCAATGTCAAGCTCCAAATCTTTCAAAGGGGCCCGGTGCGGTAACCTAGTGGCTTGATATGGGCGCCAGTTGGTATTCAGGCTGCTCCACTTGCCATCCAGCTCTCTGCCTGTGACCTGGGAAAATAGTAGAGGATAGTCCAAAGCCTTGGGACCCTGCACCCACGTGGGAGACCTGGAAGAGGCTCTGGGCTCCTGGCTTCAGATTGGTGCAGCTCCAGCCGTTGTGGCCGCTTGGGGAGTGAATCATTGGATAGCAGATCTTCCTTTCTGTCTCTCCACCTGACTTTGCAATAAAGATAAAATAAATCTTTAAAAACCAAAACCACCTTTCCTAGTTGCTGGCTGCCCGGAAAGCAAACCTCCATTTTCCCACCTGTGCACACACCATCTCCTCCTCAACTGTGTGACCCTGGAAACCACAACTGCCCTGAGCTTCAGTTTTTAGTCATCACATGGAATTAATGCCTCTTGGTGGGAGTGGTGAGCAGCTCGGGCAGCAACAATGGCCCCAGGACCTGAGTCCCTCCCCTGGAACTGAGCTCCTGTCCCTAACCTGGCCCAGTCCTGGCCCTTGTGGGCACCTAGGGAGCACAACAGCACAGCGAAATCTCTGCCTTTCAATAAAAAGAAATGAAAATGCAAAACAGAGGAGGCATCTCTCCAGAGAGAATGCACAGGGACAATGCAGGCAGAGGCAGAGATAGGGTGCCAGCCAGAGAAGACGAGCAATCGACAGCCAGCAGAGGCAAGGAAGTGGCCGCCAGTAGCCCTTACAGCAGGCACGGTCAACACCCACATGTCACACTTAGTTCTTTGGCTTATGATAATTCATCACAGCAGCCCTAGGATATCAATACAGCCGCTAACAATGCTTAAATAAAACACGAGGCACTGGGGCCAGTGCTGTGGCACAGTGTATAAAGCTACAGCCTATGGTGCTGGCATCCCACATGAGTGCTGGTTCGAGTCCCGGCTGTTCCACTTCTGATCCAGCTCCTTGCTGATGTGTCTGGGAAAGCAGCAGATGATGGCTCCAAGTGCTTGAGCACCTGCGCCCATGTGAGAGGCCCAAAAGAAGCTCCTGGATTTGGATTGTCCCAGATCTGGCAGCTGTAGCCATTCAGGGAGTGTGAAATCAGCAGATGAAAGACCTGTCTCTCCATTTCTGTTACTCTGCTTTTCAAGTAAATTAAAAAAAAAAAAATGTACATCTCTTAAAATTAAAAAAAAAAAACCACTAAGTTCTAACATACAAGTATTGAACGGACACCTGAGGAGGCTAAGGCTGAGATAAGCCAGTGAGTCAAGCTGGCAGGAACTCAGACCGACCTAGCTCTCATCCACCCCCTCAACCACTCGGCTGCCTTGCCCGCTCGAGCACGGAACCAGGACACAAGGTGCCTATTAGGACCAACACTTCCAGTCACACAGTTAGTACTTGATCTACAGTAACAATTACTATTCCCCTCATACTTCCACTCCATTATCCTACTTCTTCACAAGGGTCAGCACACATTTTAAGGACCAGGTGGCAAACATTTTAGTTTTTTTAATTAAAAAAAAAAAAAAAGATTTATTTGAAAGGTAGAGTTACAGAAAAAGATACAGGGATGGGGAGGGGAGGTGCAGAGAGCGAAAATGAAGAGACAAGGAAAAAGAGGGAAAGAGATCTTTAATCCATTGGCTCACACCCGGGATGGCCGCAAAAGCCAGGGCTGGGGACTGGTATTGTGGCACAGCACACTAAGACTCTGCATCCCATTGAGTTGCCAGTTCAAGTCCTGACTGTTCTACTTCCAATCCAGCTCCCTGCTAACAGCCTCGGAAAGCAACAGAAGATGTCTCAAGTCCTTGAGCCCCGACATCCACATGGGAGATCCAAAAGAAGTTTCTGGCTCCTGGCTTTGGTCTGGTCCAGCTATATAGGGAATGAACCCACAGATAAAAAAAATCTTTCTCTAATTTTTCCTTAAAAAAAAAAAAAAGAGCAGGATGAATTAGGCTAAGTCAGAAGCCAGGAGCCTAGGAACTCCTCCCCCCTTGGGTCTCCCACATGAGTGGCAGGGTTCTAAGTACGTGGACCTTCTGCTGCCTTCCCTGGCACATTAACAGACTGCTGAACAGAAAGTGGAGCAGCCAGGATTTGAACTAGGACTCCTATGGGATGCCAGTATCACAGGCAGTAGCTTAACATGCTTCATCAATGTCAGCCCCAATATTTTAGCTTTGCGGGTCAAGAAGCAAAATAAGGGTCACTGTGCAGGTACTTAGGTAACCATTAATAATGGAATAATTCAGACTTATAAAAACCATCCTTAGCTTCAGTGCTGGCAAGCAATGGCCCTTGGGCTCTGGTCTGCAGGTCCTGCTCCAATCAGCTCTGTTGGTGGCCTGGCAGTTCCTGGTCTGCCTGGCATCTTGCACTGCGCTCGGCTGTTACCCTACAAGCCAACACCCCCTTCTGGCATATTTTCCCCCAACTTCCCTCCCCCCATTACCATTTCTGTTTAAGCCCCCATTTCACTTCATAACAGGCCAGCCTTTTATCCCCTCCTTGGGACCTGACCACGTGAGCACCCTGTCTGATCTCCCAACACCTGCAATGGTGGCTGTACACACAGCACACGTCAAAGGCACGGAGGCACTTTCTGAGGGTCACTCACGTTCGGGCAGCATGACTCTGAGTTCTGACTCTGCAGATCCAGAGTGCAGCCCAACTCCCCGCTGTCACTACTCCGTCACTGCTGCAGAGAGCAGCCACGACTGGACCCCCGGCCTCTGCACACATGGCTCCCTTGGCCTGCAAAGTCCCGTTCAGCTCGGCTGACTTGGCAACCTTTCCCTGTTTAAAACTAGACTGATATTGGAAGAAGCCACCTTGGACTCCCCTTCCCTTTCTCATGGTTTATTACATCCTCCTCTGCCCTATATCCCATCACAGCACATGTCCACAACCGTGTGTGTCACGGTGTTTGCTAACAGCTACGTGCTTGCCAGTCCCCCTCACTGACCTGGGCACTGAGGACCAGCCCATCATGTGCTCCTCAAACCTCCTAAAGCACATCCAAGACCAGGGGGCAATTTCCACGTAAGGGTGTGTGTACGGATACATATTTCCAACACCACAAACCAATATAAGGCGGAATCACATGTGTGTATTATCTCCCTGGCACACAGAGCGTTTTCAAAAGCCTTCTCTTTCCCCAGTCAGCCTTGGAAAGTCAATTCATAGACCCTTTTAACTTTTAAATCACTCACATGTTAATGATCTCATCCATAAGACAGATCCAGATCTTTATTTCCTGGACTTTTAAAAATTCTGCTACTACATAAATATAGTAACATTCTATAAGCTGCAGAAGCCAGGAAGTAGTTACTCAGCATCTATTTCATCAATTCAATAGCACTTATCAAGTATTCGCTATTCATGGATTGCCCAGGGACACAAAAACATGAGCTACACTAACGAAAAACCTAGCACTGCATGAAATAATTACTCAAAAATGACAGCTCGGACTCCAGTGCGGTAGCTTAATGGCTAAATCCCCACCTTGAATGCACCAGGATTCCATATGGGTACCAGTTCGTGTCCTCGCTGCTCCACTTCCTATCCAGCTCCCTGCTTCTGGCCTGGGAAAGCAGACTCCAACTCCTCATCCTGAAGGGGACTCAAGCTTTATATGTATAAGAAAGGAGATAGGATTTGCAACTCAAAATGAGGTCCCAGAAGGGACTGTCTGCCCAGTTGGCTTCCATGCCTTGGATGCAGACACCTGGGAGCCCTCACTGGGGGCAGGAGGCCAGGGTTAATCACCAGTACACACAATGCACCTGGCAGGGGAAGCTGCAGGTGCGTGTTTGCTGACTGGACCTGAATGTGCACACCTGCGCTCTCCGTAACTGATCCAGGACTTGCAGGCTCCCAGTTCCCAGACACACAGAAGCACACAGAACACGCTGGACAGCAGCCCGTGATCATGTCTGAAGGTTTACTACACACCTAAGAGTATTTTATTTTCAATACAGACACGATGCTATTAAAATGGAAAATAAAGTCAACCAACAAAGCAGTGCTTTAAGTAGGAGTCCGTGAACCGCACATTACCTGTGCAGGAGGCAGAGCTCAGAAATGTTCAGTGACTGCCCTGCAGCACAACCAGCTCGCAGCAGGGTCTGCTGGAAGGAGACAACTGACAAACCTGGGACTCCAAGACTGCGACTCTGTCCCTCTGCTGCCATCACTTCCGTGTGTAACTGACGAACATCAGCATTCACTACAGTGCGGCCTCCTTAGGGACCTGGGCAGTTCTGCCAGGGACAGGTTGGCAGGGGCAGGGGGCTGATGGAAACATTGCAGGAGCTGTCTCTGAAGGCAGAGTGCCTCCCCTTTTCAAAGCATTTGAAGTGCTGCTTGCCCTTCACCAGTGGGAGAACTAGGGCTTAAGGAGGCATAAGAGCCTAGCCCAAGCTTCCCCACACCCTTAGCCTGCCTCTCCCAGACCCCACACCACAGAGACTGACTGCCCCTCTGCCCACGCCCTTCTGACCTGGAGAACTCCGCTGCTCCAGAGCCCTGCCCAGCGCCATCTCCTCCACCTACAGGAGAGCTCTCTCCCACACGCTCTTGGCAGCCTGGCACAGCAAGAGCTGAACTTCCAGAGTCCCCTCCTACTGCCCTCTGTCCTGCGCCCCCGACGGTGTGGGCAGGCTCTAGCCCGGGCTGTCTCCTGGATCTAACCGTATCAAGCCCAGCTAATATGGCAGTGCTGGCTGATTTGTGACCATTCAGTGAATGGTATCATAGGGGCACATTCCAGCTAACTTGATGTTAGAGTTTGATTTAAAACAGAAATAATACCACAACTGGTTTCCATTCAACTTGAGAAAAAGGAACACAGTTTAAGGGACATCTACAAATAAACCACACAGTCTCTAAGTTGTTGGAGTTCTGCCACTGCACTCAGAAACCCTAAGATGACCAGCCAGACTGCCCAGCATTCCCAAGCAGAAGGTGAGGGCCCAGTGGCCCCACACACTCCCGCAGCCCCTGGGAGTGCAGTGCAGAGGGGCCTAGGCCTCTGCTTCCTTCACATCTGCTCTATGACCAAAGGGGCTTCCCAGCTCAACACAAAGTCAGGCAAAGCATGGGACCAGGGCACTGTGGACAGGGTGCCAAGGGGCAACGTCCCTCCCCCAGGGTTCCTGACCACGTGACTAGTGCCATGGACATTTTAAACGAGGAACTGAGTCATCTGTTTGCAAAGTCCTAAGGGTTGCCTAATTTTCACTGAGAAAACACAAACTGGGCCAAAGGTTAAAGCTAGAAGTGAAGTCTCTTCACCAAAAACAAGCTGGGGAGAAACGGGTTCAAATTTGGGCTAAAACAAAAGGGAGCGATGGCCTCAATTTTCAGCCACCGAGGCTTTGTTTCTCCAGACTCCGGGCACCACCCTCTTGGGGCTATTTTTAGCCCCAGGAGAATGGGGCAGAGATAGGGAAGGGCTCAGTGCGGCCCAGCCTTACCTGGTGTACCCTACGGGACTCCACTGGCTATCTTTAATTGATGTCTGATGGACACCAGGCCAAGGCGGCACAATGGTGAAATTCTAGCCAGGCAGATGGGGAGACCCACTACCACGGTGCCTACTTTCTGACTGCAGAGAGGGCTCCACCTGGCACACTTCAAGAGTAGCACAGATGACCCCATTCAATTCAGAGCCAAGGAAACTAGACTGCCCTCCTCCTTACCTCGTCCTGCCTCTCCGGCTTCTCACGGTGCAAGCTGGATTTTACTGACAAATCTAACACGACTTCAGAGCTTTACTTTGGAATCGAGGAATTTCACCTTCAGGAACTCCCTTCAGCCATTCTATCCTTGTTCATAAACACAGACAAAACCCACGTGTCGGACCATCTAACCTTCCTGGGGTTTCCCTTACAGGAGGGTCCGAGGCATCAATGTAAGGCTTTAAGATCACACCAACTTGCTAGGCACAGGGTCAGCTTGATTCAGTACCATGGGTTAATGAGATCTCTGAAAACAAAACTGCGTGCCAAGCATGCTACTCTGTGCATATTCCACCCTCAGCAGTGACAGCATTACCAGGGCAGACGGCGGGCAGGGCAGAAAGTAAACAAGACCCCAGGATGATGCACCAGTGACAGACTTGAGCATGCTACTTAGCTAATCAATCAACTGTCTAGCAGCAAAGAATTTAAGGCACTCCCATGCTAGGTTTTCAAAGCGAGAAGCCTGTCAAACCAACCTAGCACTGAATATCCATGTACCCCAAACCACAGCAAAACTGCCTTCTTTCTTCACTGACTCCACAACCGAAGTGGCTGTTTTTATCCAAGGCCTCATTTGCTGATGAATCAGAATTCTCTTTCAGCTGATGCAGCCACACAGCTTTCTTCACTTCCATAGGAAGTACTTACACCCAAATCATCCTTCTTAAGCCCTTGCCACAGCATCAGATACAGTCGGAAGACGCCGACCCACCACATTCACAGTGTCTGGGGTTTCCGTCCTTGCCCTGTGGCCAGGGCCTCACCAGTCGGGGCCCCGTGTTTTCCGAATGGGACCATTCCGTCCAGCAGCCAGGCTGGGTGTGCACAGGGCAGACGACACTCAGAGCCTGAGGCCCAGGCTGGCTGGGTTAAGAGGGACCCAGCAGGACCTGCCTCTCCACCCAGTGTTTATTAACAAAGAAAACTCAGGAAAGACCATTTAAAAAGATAACTAACAGGTTGGAGAAACTTAGGACAGTTGATGATTATAGTGGAGCCAATCTTCCGCCAGAGCCCCGCCTTGGGATGGAAAAGTCTTTGCTGTCCACCAGCTGGCAAGCGCGTGGAAGGGCAAACCACATTTTTCCTGTTGTAAAACCCAGCAGTCACACGTGGCCTACAGGGGCCCAAGGGTGCCTGAACAGTCCTCTTAACTGCTTCAGCCAGCAAAAGGCATCTTCGAACCACACTCCATCTCACCTCGAGATGAGTCTCCTAATGTACGGTTAGAAAAGCAAAGCTGGAAGATCAGTAAGAACTCAAGAGGCACGCAGGGATGTAAGCTTTAAGCCGAGCACTTAGGACAAAAACTACTTAAGCTGCTAAAGCTTTTTTTTAAAATTACTTTTCCTTTGTTCTCTTTCACAAGTCACAGTAAGACCTGAGATGTGATTACGCTTCTGAGGCGATCTCAGAGACGAAAAGGCAGCCCACCCCGGGGTCAAAGCTGCAGGAAAGCTGAGAGGCTCAGGAGGCGCCAGCCCGCCTCCCAGCGCCCTCAACACTGGGCACACGGAGACGATCTCCACACTACAGCTTTCATGGCAGTACAGCCTCGGGACTCGTCACCTGGGGATGCCGGCTCCGTGGAAAACACACACCAAGGGAAGAGGGGTTTTCAAACTCCAAACAATAGGAGACAATTTCAGTTCCAAGATTTAAACAACAAAAAAAGTTGATTTAAGACGAAGCAGCAGGGTACCTGGCAAAGGCTGTGTATGGCCCAGTGAGTTGATGACGATCTGCAGGAGGTGATTTCCCACCTCCAGCCTGGGCCTGGCATCCCTGTCCACTTTCAACTACGTACCAGCTATCTGCCTAAAGTCACAAAAACTTGTCGGAGGGCAGCCGGCCTGGGCCTAGCGTGATGCAATACAATGGAATGTTAGTATTTAGGTTCCGCCTTAAAAAACTCAACACGTTATAGTAACAAAAACTTAGTGTAAGTTCACATCAGTTCTACCAACATCAGCCAGAAAGTCAAGGATTGACAACTTACACAGAAAAAAAAAAAGGGGGGGGAGCCACAGATTAGGTTCAATCCACACCAGCACCTCCATTACAGTTCAAACAGCTCCTCCAATCCTGGACTGTGCTGACCAGTGACAAACTGCAAAAAACTTTCTATCTGTTATTAAAAATCACTAAGGCAGAGTCCAGCCTGCTGCATTTCAGCAGCAGCCACGGCTGGACACGAGGCAGGACATGAAGCCTCCCACATCCGACCCATCTCCCCATGGTGGGAGGAAGGAAGCAGGAGCGAGACTGCTGTCTGTGGGCATCTTCACCCGCCCCGCCGAGGGACTGACAGGAAGACAATCGAGAGCCCAGCTCAGCATGAAGCGCAGGCCGGCCGGCCGACCTGGCAGCGCAAGGCCAGCCCTGCCCAGCCCAGCTACCCCCACCACGCAGGGCAGCCTGCACCGCTCTCTCCTCCCGCTCCCCTATACTGGGCTGTAACAGGCAGGACCGCCTCCCCCCTGCCACCCACACCTCCCTGTCTGCTCTCAACCAAGCAATGCATACTCAGGTAGGCTTTCCTGCTGTCCTTGACCTTATCAAACAAAACCAAAAATATTCAATTCCCAGCTCTTTCACCAATAACTAACAGTAGCAGAATGAACCCCGACGCTGGGCACGCCAGCACTGCTCGCCTCAGATCCGACCCTCTGTGAGTTCTGTGCAGTCTCCCCGCACTGCTCTTCTACACCATGCGCTTCATGTCAGTCGGGTTACAGCGCTAAGGGCCTCGGGAAGCCCCCGACCCATGACCTCCTGCTCCCATCGGCTACAGAGTCTGCCCCAGTGCAATTCCTCCACCCAAGCCAGACACTAAGGGACCCGCAGGAGGAGAGAGGGCACCACCCATTCTCCCCTACTCCTTCCGGGCTTCCTGAAACCCATCCATGAATGACCCTGCGGCGTTCAAGTGCATGCCTCACAAGGTCTTGGTTCCACCCTGACCTACCTTCCCAGAGCCTCAGGTCCTTACCCAGCCATTCATACTCTACAAGGACAACTCAGCCGTCACAGAAAGTACTCAGTCTTTTTGCCAGAATACTGGCTCCCAGACGGGAGGGAACTAGCAGGAGATGGCTAGCTGTCCTCAAACCCACCCCCTAAATGCACTCCAGAGGCCCTGGCAGTGGCAGTCCTGCCCCATCACCACGCACAGTGCCCACCCCCTGCCGTCCCAGTCACCCCTCCCAGCCCCGCCTTTACCTTTCTGAACGTGGATGATGTCCGGGAAGTTGGCCAGGTGGCCCTGGTAGAGCGCCAACAGGTCCATGACGGGGTCCAGGTCCTGCCTGGGCTGCTCGGCGAACAGCTCGCCGATGGCGTCGTAGGCATCTCCGGTGAAGGCGATGGCCTGGTTGAGGCCGGCCGAGAAGGCCTGCTGGTCCAGTTCGAAGGCCTGGCTGAGGCCGCGGAAGGACTGGCCCACCTTCTGGTACTCCTTCTTGAAGCCCGTCACCTGTTTGCGCGCGAACTCGTTGGCCGTGTGGTTGAGCTGCAGCGCGCTGTCGTCCATCTTCTTGGTGAAGCACTTGAAGCCGTCGATCTTGCTCTCCACCTCCTGCAGGTCGAGCGCAGCGGCCGGGGGCGTGCTCAGGGTCAGGAAGAAGTTGGCGCCCACCATCTCGTCCTTCTCCGCCTTCCGCTTGCCCTGTTTCCAGGCCTTCTCGTCCGTGCTGCTGGGGCACGTCAGGAAGTGCTGGAAGACGTCGCACTGCGCCAACACCGGGTGGCTGGCCATGTGGTTCATCCACCAAATCAGGCCCTTCCGGCGCTTGGAGATGAAGTCCTCCTCGAAGCGGCCCGTAGCCTGCTTCTCGGGCAGGTGCGGCACCGAGATGACCGGAAACTTCTCGGCCAGGCGCGCGTAAAGCCAATCGAAATGCTTGTAGCGCCGGTGCACGGGCACCTGGGTGTGCGTGGGCACCAACTTGTAGGAGATATAACTCTTCATGCCCTTGAACTTGGTCTGCTTGGTGGGGTCGTCGATGGTGCACTGGAACGGGTAGGGGTTCTCTTGCCACTCGGGGCCGTAGGGCCCCAGCACCACGCACAGCTTGTCTCCATCCTTGACGAAGCCCGACGCCTCCCCGAGCACGAAGGCCTCCCCGCCTGACTTGACGAAGGTGGAGAAGCGGTTGAGGTTGCGGCTCACCGTGGCCGAGCTTTTGGCCCCGGACGCGTGATGGTGCTGCGCGGGCGCCGGGCCCCCACGAGCGCCCAGCGACAGGTCGGAGCGCGTGGACAGGCGGTAGCGGCCCGCTGCGCCACCGCCGGCGGCCGACGAGGAGCCGTCGAGGTCCGGGTAGGCGCCGCTGCCCAGAGCGCCCGGCTCGTCGGCCACCGTGGAGCTGTCGTCCCACTCGTCGTCCCAGTCGTCGTCGCTGCCCAGGCTGGCCTGGTAGCCGCCTCCGCCGCCGTAGAGAGGCTGCTGTGCGCCCCCGCCGTACGGCTGGAAGGTGCTGGGCGGCGGCGCCTGCTGCGGCTGCAGCAGCGGCTGGAAGGCATCGGGCGGCGGTTTGAAGGAGGCTGGCGGAGCGGCGGGCAGGGGCTCGAAGCCGCCGGGCGGGACGTTGGCATAGCGCGCCGGGGCGCCGGGGCCACCACCGTCGCCCGCCGGGCCGGGTTCGGGGGCGCGGATGACCTGCACGTACGAGGCCGGGAAGAGGCCCCGATCGCCTCGGCTGTTGACCCCTTCGAGCCAACCCTCGATGTCCTGTTCGCTGCACAGGCTCAGCACCTCGTGTTCCCGCAGCGAGATCTCGCCCGGGTTCTCCGACCGAAAGTCATAGAGCGCCCGGGCGCGCAGCGCCATGGTGCGCCCCGGAGCCCTGGGCGGGCGGACGGGCGGGCGGACGGACGGACGGGCGGGCGGGCGGCCCGGAGCCCCGGCGCTGCTGCCGCCGGGCCCCGCGCGATCGAGCTCCGGGAAGGCGGCGCGCACCGGCCAGCCGCCCGGCCAGCCGCTCGCAGCCCCCCGAGTCCGCTCGCTCGCCGCCCCGACTGTCGGGCGCGCTGGGCCGGGGGCGGGGCCCGCGCGCTCCCACGTCCCCAGCTGCGCTAATCCACGGCCGAGAGCCGCGTGCCAGGCGAGAGCAAGCGATGGCCGAGCCGCCGGGCTCTCGGGGATCCACGGCCGCCACTACCCCCTAGTGGCCGAGGCTTCGAAGTGCAGCGCAGTGCCGGCGGGGAAGGGGAGGGGAGCGGATGGATGACCTGGGAATGGTGCGTTTAGGCATTTGGGCTCTAGCAACGCTTCCTAGAAAGCAGGCCAGGGGGTGGCGCCTGCAATGACGCAACCCTCGGTGGAATGAAGTTTGTTTGGTAGGAAATGTTAACGTGCACCAAGGATAAAGACAGGGTGCCTGGGCAGAGGGCTCCTCGCACCGGAGCAGCCCCACCCCCTGCCCTCTTGTGCCCACAGGAGCAAGTGGGCAAAGTAGGGAACAGACTGACAAGAGCAGAGTAAGTGCTGGGGAAGGTTGCAACATATGCAGGTATAGCAGAACAAAAAAGTATACACAGGAAGGTGGCGTTTTGCTGGTGTCCACTCCTACCCCTTGTGTCCTTGCATGACCATGACCTTCAGGGTGGGGCTGCCAGTTCTAATCTCTGTTCTGATGCTAATTAGCAGGGTGACCTTGAGCAAGTCACTTCCCTTGTACCTACCTCTTAGTGTCCTTGTGAGAATGTCATGATAACGCAGCACCTACTTTTAAAATCTGTGTATGTTCATACATAGATTGGGTTTTTTTAAAAAAGATTTTATTTTTATTGGAAAGTCAGATATACAGAGAGGAGGAGAGACAGAAAGATCTTCCATCCCATGATTCACTCCCCAAGTGAGCACATCAGCTGGTGCTATGCCGATCCGAAATAAGGAGCCAGCAACTTCTTCCAGGTCTCCCACACGAGTGCAGGGTCCCAAGGCTTTGGGTCAACCTCGACTGCTTTCCCAGGCCACAAGCAGGGAGCTGGATGGGAAGTAGAGCTGTCGGGATTAGAACGGGCGCCATATGGGATCCCGGTGTGTTCAAGGGGAGGACTTTAGCCGCTAGGCAACATCACCGGGCCCTCATATATAGATTGTTATGGGGCTGGATGGCTCTTGTTAACATATTCTCATTTTATAATGAAATAATTTATAACAAAAGGCAGGGAGAGGCACAAGTGAGCCCTCCCATCTACCACTTCACCTCCCAAGTGTCCTTGGCAGCCAGGGCTGGGACAGGCTGAAGGCGCTGACACCCGGCTACCGGAGCCAGCCTGCAATGCCTCCCGGAGCATGCCTGAGCAGGGACGCTGGATCCCAGGCTGAGCGGCAAGGACAGCATACAAGTGTCCCAGGGGTGACTTAACTGCAGTAGAGACGGGGAAATCCCACGGTGTGTGGCCGACACTGTGCACCGCCAGCACAGCTCAGGTGTTCACTGCCATTCTTGCTAAAAGCCCCAAATTGTGGAGCTGTTTCATGAAGAGGATGAGGGTGAAATTGCAACAGCAGGGAGAGTGTGCCAGGCACGGTCCCCCAGACACATCCCTACTCCTTAGCCTGAGGTCAGGGACTGTCCCCCACCCCCATGCAGTCATCTCTAAGCCTCAGGATCTTTATGATGTGATTTTTAAGAGAAGGAGATCAAAAATGACTTCCTGAAATATTCATCAGCCCCAATCTCTCAGAGTTGCCTTGTTTCCTATCTTTTTTTTCCCCTTCGGTGTATAATTTGCCCAAAGCCTTTTCTTCTCCAAATCTCATCCTTGGAAGTCTAGTCTAATTATTCCTTTGAAGACACCTCTAATTGGGTTCTGTATTCATATATCATTAATTTCAGCCTGTCCCCTGACCCTTTTCAAGCAAGTCTGGGAAAGAGGCCAGAAGAGAGTTAAAAAAAAAAAAAAAAAAAAAAAAAAAGAAGAAGAAAGAAAACAACAGTGGAGGGCATTCTAAGCCTGCACAAAAACACAGATCCACTCTGCCAGAAGTACTCCCACAAGGTGGAGCCTAATGAAAAACCTTAATTCAATTCCGCAAACAATCCAGAATTACCACTTTTTTTCTAAGCTGAAAGCTCCAGGTTATGACTATTTCACAGTAAAGCAACAGAAGTCCTTGAATTTCAATGCCAGAATTTTCTGTGTCACAGACTCCACACGAACCAAACATCCAGGAGACAACTGATTTCCCTTGTGAACCTCTGAGAAGCTAAGCGGGAATATTTAAACACGGGTAGCCTCACCCCCTTCTGTTCCTTCATGGCAGTCCCTCCAGGCTGACCTCAAGTGTGAAATTCCAGAGGCGACTAGAAGCAGTGGTTAGGGTGTCTTACAGCACAGGTGCAGGGACCTGCAGGTGTGAAGCTGGTAGGGGTCTGATGGGCGGCCTTTGTGGTGGGCAGGCTTCAGAGCCAGTTGGGTGTGTCCCTCCCTCCCCCCCACCCACAGTGAGAAGAAAACACCTAGACCTCCAAGGTCTGGGACAGGAACAAAACGTGCTGAAGCATTAGGGATCTATAAGAAGCGATAGCTTTGAAATAGATTTCTCTAGAACACAGGGCAGTATTATTGATCCCTCCAGGATTCCTGTTCCACTACGCTTTTATCAAGAACAGCTTTCACACTACAGGGCCCCACACATCTGCATTTTCTCACTTCTTCTCTTGGCCTGAGAGGCCCTAGGTGGCCTGGGCTTGGTTGTCTTGCCAGCTGTGTTTTCTACTGCCAGTAACCACAGTGGTTTCCTGGCTATTCCGGGAACAAGCGTAGCACATTTGCGCTTGGTGGATCTCAGCCTTTGCTGTTTGCTCAGCCTGGACCCCCTTCCCCAGACCCTAGCTGGGTGCCCTTTGAAGTCTGTGAGAATCAAAGTGGCTCATCCACGCCCCCTCCCTCCCTCTTTTCTCCTTCTACCTTGGAGGAGAACCTGGAAGTAAAATGGAAGGAGCAAGGATCCCGCAGTCACTTTGTAAGAGA